TTCACTGTTACAACTAGATTAAAGTGATAAATCGGCGAGCGAATGGATTATTATGTTGTCTAGAAATTTATGAAGAGTTTACGAGAAGATTTAAGAATACCGCAGTGTAATTTTTGGTCGCTTTGTTCATATTTGCTATACATTCTTTTTTTCGTATTTTGTCTTATGTGTATTTTATCTTTAGTTTTGGTTTATTTTCTTTTCTTTTTTTTTTGCGTTTCTGACATTGTTATTGTCATCCATCTTATTCTACTTCGTTTTATCGTTGTTGTTTTTTCTGTTGACATTATGGGTGTTACCGTTTAGCTGTTTTTCCATGACCAAGCGTGATCTCTTCTCTCTCTGTTTCTCTCTTTTTCTCTCCCTCTTCCTCATCTCCTTCATTTCCCCTCAGCATTGCTGACTGTTTATTTTTTTTTCCCTTTTCCTCTGTTTATGTTGATCTATATCGTTTATCGTATATCTCATTTCCCTTATCTCTCTCTCTCTCTCTCTCTCTCTCTCTCTCTCTCTCTCTCTCTCCCTCTGTCTCTCTCTCTCTCTCTCTCTCTCTCATCTCTCTCTCTCTCTCTCTCCCTCTCTCCCTCTGTCTCTCTCTCTCTCATCTCTCTCATCTCTCTCATCTCTCTCTCTCTCTCTCTCTCTCTCTCTCTCTCTCTCTCTCTCTCTCTCTCTCTCTCTCTCTCTCTCTCTCTCTCTCTCTCTCTCTCTCTCTCTCTCTCTCTCTCTCTCTCTCTCCCATCTCTCTCATCTCTCCCATCTCTCCCATCTCTCTCATTTCTCTCATCTCCCTCATATCTCTCTCATATCTCGCTCATTTCTCCCCCTCTCTCTCCCCCACAGCACAGCCTCTCCATAATCCATCGAGACATCAAAGCCGAGAACGTTTTCCTGGCGGGTCCCGGGGTCGTCAAGCTGGGTGACTTCGGCTTTTCGACGCGCGTGCACAGCCTGGAACAGCAGCTCAGTACCTTCTGCGGTTCTCCGCCCTACGCCGCGCCAGAACTCTATAAGGTAAAGGGGAGGGGGAGGGTTGGAGTTATTGAGTGTGGTGGTAGTTGTTGTAGGAGTGGTAGTGGTTGTTGTTGGTGGTGGTGGTGGTGTTGTTAGTAGGAGTGGTAGTTGGTTGTAGTAGTACTAGCAGTAATGGTAGTAGTAGTAGTAGTAGTAGCAGTGATATTAGTAGTAGTAGTAGTAGCAGTAGTAGTAATGGTAAGTAGTAGCAGTAGTAATAGTAGTAATAGCAATAGTAGTAGTAGAAGTAGTAGTTGTAGATGTTGTTACATTAGTTGCAGTAGTGGCGATGGAGGTGACGGAAGAAATATTAGTAAATTCTGGCTGGGCATAAAAGTAAGGACGCTCAAGAAAGCTGTGGGGCAAGCGAGACGGCGATTGTCATTGGGGCATCACCATCATCCTCACCCGCAGAAGGAGGAACCACCGGACCCCCCCCCCCTCCCTCCTCCACGCTAATCTCCGCTGTATGTTGCCCGCATTTGTTTCAATCTCCTCTCCCCTTCTGCCCTGCTTTCTTCCACATCTAACTATTTCTTGGGGTCCAGGCGGTCAGTCTATTTTCCAGCTGTCATTTCCATTTTTGCTTTTTCATCAGTTCTGTTAATGTATTTTTCCTCTTCCGGTCTCTCGAAGATAATAACGACATCGACCACTCCATCGGTCTGTGTGTTTTTCTTTCTTTGCTTTCTGGAATGTTTGGTCTTCAAGCTCATAATTGTATGCTGTAAATAGGAGAACACACTGGTATTTAAATATTTTATTAGTAGTTTTAGTATTAGTGTTAGTATGAATACTATTATGGCACGCTGCTAAGAAAAAAAATGGTGATCTACCATTGTTTGTTTTTTTCGATTGTTTTCTATCTCTTAGGAACGCGTCTAGTTACATCGTTTTATAACTTATTTTGAGCTTTAGTACTTGATCTAGGTATGTAAATTCATCAACTACAAGGATCCCATATTTAGTTTTAGTTATGTTACTTCAGATATTATCGTTAAACTCCCCGTCCATGCTAAGTCTCCCTTCAAGTTTGTTTTTTTTTCTAGTGAGTCATGGAGTACGTCTTTTCCCTACGCTTAGAGGGTCTCAGATTTTTTGTGCACTTTATCCTCGTGAAAATATCTTTAATACCAAGTCGTAGGTGTTTTGTTTTGTTTTGGTTTTTTATGTCTCCCTCCCCCCCTCCCTCTCCTCTGTTACTTCCGTTTTGTCTGAATCTTATAATCGCTGCTCCATTTGCGTAAAAATTCTGAGGCAGTCGCTTAATGTGTCCGGCTGCTCCGTGTTCGCGCACTGAATTTTAAAAACGCCTCATGTGCTGTTGAGTCAAAGGCCCTTTCATAGTTTAAAGGAGCTTGTCACAGCCGTTTATCAAGTATTGTGGTTTTCTAAAGAAAGCTGGTTCGTGGTGTGCAAATAGTCCTTGGTATAGTATTTACTCTTGAATCCTGTTGTTAGGCTGTGAGTCTGTATGTGTACATAAAGATGGTGAAATGTGTTTTCCTGTTTTATTGCGTTTTATTATATCTGTATAGTACACATATTTATACTGTAACAACGGTATACATACATACATATATACATACATACATATATATATGTATGATCACCATGATCATTAAAACACTGAGATATCGTGTGTTACAACAAATAACACACACTATCTGCAGGTTGTTTAAAACAAAAACAGCAATGAAATAAAGACAACACACGCACTTCTGCAACAGCACACACATCAGAAAAAAACAACAGCGAGAGCAACACATTATCGACAAGGTTACTCAGAAATGACACTCCTGAATTTCGTAACGTCACTCGAAGGTCACCTGCGCAGACACAAATCACCGGAAGAGTTAAAGTTTGCGATGGTAAACGTTATAAAATCATAATAATGGCTTTCTGATCAGCAATTCCCATGATTGCAACAGTCAGTCTTCAATTTCTTTGTTGAGAGTTGTTGCGCTGTTTGTGATGGTATGTTGCGTTATTGCCTTTCCGTTTGTTTATTGCTGTTGTTGTTAAAGTTGTTTTAAGTATTTTTGTCCGTAGCCTTGTCGACATCAGTGTTGTTGTTGTTGTTGTTGTTAATGCTGCTGTTCTTGCGTGCTGTTGTAAAGAAAATCGCTGCCGTTGTTGGGAAATTCTAAACATTATTCTTATTAATGATTAAGTCTCTATATGAATTTATGTTCTTTGCGTTGGTAGTAATAATATATATATTTCTTTCTTTCTCTCTTTTCTTTTCTTTTCTTTTCTTTTTTTCTTTTTTTTACATAGTTTATATATACTCATGGATTCTAGCCGTTTTCGTTCACAGCGTTCACTTCTAAATATAAGCGTAAATATATTTCACAAACAAACATATACAGATCCGTAATATACGCCATTACAAAACTTCTCATACTTAGATATTATATCCGGATTTCAGGTAGCCCTTTTTACTCTTAAAAGTCATATATTTATATTTAGTTTTGTCTATTTATAGTTTTACATCATTGATTTCCTGTATTTAACTGTGTATAGCGCCGTATCCCTTATTACAAGTGCGTTATACCAATAAAGGGATTAGATATCTTTGGCTTTACTAAATAATCTTATCAGCTGTCTTTTTGATAACGTTTTTTTTTATTTATAGCTTTTACCGCATCATATCTATAGTTTCAATTTTATTTCACTCACATTGACTCTACGTAGCTAATATTTTTTCCTCCGTTCTTATCCATTTAATTTCCTATCACCATACTTACTTCACTGCATAACTTGAATATCGTGATTTGGACTTCATGATTCCCATTTCAATAACGTTTTTTATGCAGCTTTATATTTGACTTTACACTGTATATTTTATCTCCGTTTCAGGACGAATCTTACTTGGGCCCAGCTGTTGATATTTGGGCTCTGGGTGTTCTTCTGTTCTTCATCTTAACGTCAGACATGCCTTTCAAGGTCAGTGACTTGTGAGTGACTTGTTAATGGTATATGTCAGGTCAGCTTTGGTAGCGGGGACACGAATATATGTATATATATATATATATATATATATATATATATATATATATATATATATATATATATATATACATATATATATATATATATATACATACATATATATATATATATATATATATATATATATATATATATATATATATATATATATATATATATATATATGTATATATATATATATATATATATATATATATATATATATATATATATATATATATATATATATATATATATATATATATATAGTCTATACCTATATCTGTGTAACTGTCTATCCATATACCTATAGATGAATAGATTATTATCATCATCATCATTATCATCGTTAGAAGTATTATTATTATTATTATTGTCATCATCATCATCATCATCATCATCATCCTTACCGTGGGAAAGCTCCTGACGTAGGGAGTGAGGTCACTGGGCCGAGGAGGAGGTGTGAGGGCGAGGCAGGATGGGCGTAGGGACTGGTTTAATGTGGTTCCCATCGGTTGCCCGCAGAGGAGGCTCGTCGCTCATGTTATTATTATTATTATTATTATTATTATTATTATTATTATTATTATCATTATGATTACTGTCATCATTATTATTATTATTATTGTTGTTATTATTATTATTATTATTATCATCATTATTACAATCATTATATTGTTGTTATAATTACTGCCATCATTATTTTTATTATTGTTATTATTACTATTCGTATTATCATTATTCTTATTATCATTATCATCATTATCATTATCATTATCATTATTATCATTATCATTATTATAATTATTATTATCATTGTCATTATCATTAATATCATTACCACCGCAACAACCAGTAGTACTCCATCCGTTCCCTCTACCCCCCGCCATTACCTCTACCCCCCTCCCCCCCCAGGCCAACACCGTAGCGGGCCTCAAGCGACACATCCTGGCGGGTACCTTCGTCATCCCCGAACACGTGTCTCCCTCGGCCCAGGACCTGATCACCAAGCTCCTGGTTCAGGACCCTTCCGAACGCCCCACGCCCGCGACCATCATGAACCACACTTGGCTCTCCATGGCGCCCACGCCTCCGGAACCCCTGCAGTCGTATGTGATGGCGCCCGCGTTTTCCACAGAGGAGGAGACTCCCTTTGAGGTAGGTGGCGTGGTAAGGGGTATGGGGGGATTTGGGTGTGTTTGTGTGTGTGTGTGTGGGTGTGTGGGTAGATGTGGGTGTGGATGGGTATGGGTGTGTGTGCGTGTGAAAGTTTAATGGTAGCTGGAGTTTTTCGTTTATTTGTTTGTTGTTATTGTTACTACATGTATTTAAATAAGTATTAGTATTATCGTCATCGTTATCATTTATTATCCCCTCCCTCCTTATTATTGCTCTTGGCATTATTCTTGCTATTATCTTTTATTATTTTTGTTAGTATTGTCATCACAATCACTCTTATCGATTATTTCATTTATCTGTTATCTCCCTGTTTTTCCTTTTAATTATTGAGGTGATATTTATAGTTTTTCTTCCGCTCTCTCTTTCTTTGTTTTTTTCTCGTTTTCTTTTTTCTCTCATACATTTTCTTTTCATTTTTGTCATTTCTTTTTTATGCTTCTTACGCTTAGTTTTTCCCATTTTCTCCGATCGTCTGCTCCTCTCTCTCTCTCTCTCTCTCTCTCTCTCTCTCTCTCTCTCTCTCTCTCTCTCTCTCTCTCTCTCTCTCTCTCTCTCTCTCTCTCTCCCTCTCTCTCTCTCTCTCTCTCTCTCTCTCTCTCTCTCTCTCTCTCTCTCTCTCTCTCTCTCTCTCTCTCTCTCTCTTCCTCCCTCTCTCTTTCTCTCCCTCTCTCTCTCTCTCTCTCTCTCTCTCTCTCTCTCTCTCTCTCTCTCTCTCTCTCTCCCTCTCTCTCTCTCTCTCTCTCTCTCTCTCTCTCTTCTCTCTCTCTCTCTCTCTCTCTCTCTCTTCTCTCTCTCTTCTCTCTCTCTCTCTCTTTGTCTCTCTCTCTCTCTTTGTCTCTCTCTCTCTCTTTCTCTCCTCTCTCTTCCTCTCCCTCTCTCTTTCTCTCCCTCTCTCTTTCTCTCCCTCTCTCTTCTCTCTCTCTCTCTCTCTCTCTCTCTCTCTCTCTCTCTCTCTCTCTCTCTCTCTCTCTCTCTCTCTCTCTCTCTCTCTCTCTCTCCTTACTTTCCTCCTTCAGTTTTCATCTGCTTCAACATTTTAAACATTTTGACCCAATTCTCCACATCCGCCAGACTGAGTCTATTCACAATTCACAAGTTCAGTGAAGCAAATCAGATTAGACGATACAGCGAATCACTGTTGATGTAAAGGAAACCTCCCACTTTATATATATATATATATATATATATATATATATATATATATATATATATATATATATATATATATATATATATATATATATATATATATATATATATATGCATGTACGTATATATGTGTGTCTAAATATGTATATATCTAAATATGTAGATATGCATATATATCATATATAAGTATATATATATATATATATATATATATATATATATATATATATATATACATATACATATACATATATATATATATATATATATATATATATATATATATATATGTGTGTGTGTGTGGTGTGGTGTGCGTGTGCGTGTGCGTGTGCGTGTGGTGTGTGTGTGTACGCATGCATGCACGTATGTTAGGTTGGTAAATTTGTATGTATGTATGTTTGTATGTTCGTTAATTACTTTTGATTATTAATAGTACCATAGACTTGGTTTCGTTGTCAGGTATATTATCATTTAAAATACAGCATTTTATTTCTTACATTTTTGTGGAACGGACTATTTGGCTAATAAAAGTTCGACTGGTTTTATTGCGGTCATGATAATAGTTAGACAGTGTCACCTATTTTTCGTATGGTGTAATAGGCTCGTTTCCCCAGGCGGAGGCGGTGTCGACGCTGGCCTCGTGGGGCATCAGCCGGGAGAGCCTGGAGGACGGGACCGCGCTGGGGGCCCGCTCACCCGCGCTCGCCACCTACCGCATCCTCCTCCACCGCCTTCTCAACCGCCCAGACACGCCCAGCATCACTTCCAACAACAACTCGGCAGACAATGCCTCTACCCCTGTGCCCACGTCCTCGCCCTCGTCGCCCAACAAGGACACGTCGCCGAGGAGACACAGGCTCAGACTCAGGAACGGGACGGCGTCGGGATCGGCGTCCGCGGGGGTCAAGTCACGCGCGTGCATCATCGTCTGAGTGTGTAAAGGGAATGGCGTTGCGGGTCCTATGTGCATTTAAAAAAAAAGAACGCTGTTGACGAAGGCTTTAAGTTATTTGTTACTGATGTAGGAAACTTTTTTTATTTTCCAATATTATGATTATTTTGAAATGTATTTGTTCCCGTTGTATATCTTATTTATTTCATAGTGTTATATTTAGGTGATCTTACACACTTTCTTGTTTCATTTTTATACTATTCAGTTATATATTTTATTTTGTTCAAAGAACTGACATGAAAAAAAATGTGAAATAGAACAGTGCTTAAAAAAAAAAGTTTTACATAATCAGCAATTCAAATCAAATACGAAAAAGAAATTGGACACGAGACCCCTAAGCTTCAACCACCACATCATCGGGAGAAAAAAAAATAAGAAAAAATGATAAAACCACAATGAGTCACTATTTTCTTTTTCCTTCAAGTGGCTGTGTTCCTCTCCTACGAGAATATTTATGCAAATTATATCATAAATTGATGATATCGAATTATCAGTATGTGGTCGTTAAGAGCGGTTCCTATAGACTTGCCACTGTATGTGTTATATTTGTGTGTAATATCTACCAGTGGGGAAAAAAGGCCAAAGAAGAATTTACCATATATATGTAAGTACTAAAAATATGAATGAATATTTATAGCTTGTATATTTCCTGTACAGAGGTATGAGTGTGATATGATTAATATTTGGTTAAAAATATATGTATTTTACGTAACTTAAAATTGAAATCTTGTTTTTGTGCAGCATTAACATTTTAAAAAAAAATTTATACGCCAGTTAAGGTCAAAGGCAAATATGTATTTATTGTTATCATCCTTTTTAATCTATTTATTTCGTCGGGGTTTTTTATATATATTGGATGTTGCGAAGGACCAAACCTATCTTGGTGTAAGTTTTACGAGAAACTGTATAAATATTTCGTTTTCTCGTTCCCTTCATTCTATATCTATCCTGTGTATCTTCCTTTCTTTCTTTTTTCTCTCTTTCCCTCTATCTCCCTCTCTCTCTTTCTCTCTGCCTCTCTCGGTCTCTCTCTCTCTCTCTCTCTCTCTCTCTCTCTCTCTCTCTCTCTCTCTCTCTCTCTCTCTCTCTCTCTCTCTCTCTCTCTCTCTCTCTCTCTCTCTCTCTCTCTCTCTCCCCCTCTCTCTTCTCTCTCTCTCTCTATTTATCTATCTATATTTCTACTTTTCTCCGTTTCTCATATCATCCTTCCTCCTCCCTTTCTCACTTTTCTCTCTCATATTATATTTTTGATGACAATCCTTTTATCCAGACGTTGAAGTATATCTCCTTTTGGCGCCTGCGTCAGAAAGGCCACCAAACCAACTTTTGAAGAAAAAAAATAGTGAAAGAACATGACGTCACACTTACGAGGGAAAAAAGGGTATATAGATGTGACGTCATCCTTTCGCTAAATAGTAAGCTATCGAGACGTATCTTTCAAAAAAAAAAAAAAAAACGTGACGTCACTAATCGAAAAAATAACATTAAAAACAACAACAACAACGTGACGTCACATTCGGAAGATGACCAATGACGTTATTTACACAGACATCAAAAAAAATATATATATATTACTACTACTTAGCCCCGCCCGTCATCGCCAGCATTAACGAACTATTAATCCTGGCGAAAGATTAAAAAAAAAAGAAAAAAAAACTTTTATAATAGTATTGGTGTGAAATGATAACTATGACGCTTTGTAGTAGTGACTACATCTACACCTGACTTATTAGGGTCGTAAAGCATTAAATAGTGATGAATGTGCATTACCTTGTACAAATTGTAATATTTAGTACTTCCATTTCTTAGGTGAAATGCGATAACCTCCTCTCCCTCCCCCTTCGTTTTATATCTCCCTCGTTTATCATCTCATCCCATCTCCCTCCTCTAATTCCTCTTTTTCTCTCCCTTTCCCTTCTTCCTTCCCTCCTTATTCTCCTCCTCCTCCTCTCCTTCCCCCCTTTTCTCTCCCTATCCTTTCCTCCCTCCCTCCGTTTTCTTATCCTCCTCCTCTCCTTTCTCCCTTTTCTCCCCCTTTTCTTCTTCTCTTCATTTCTCTCTCTCTTTTGTCCTTCCTGCTTCTTTCTTCCCTCATTTCCTTCCTTCTTTTCTTTCTCTTTCTCTCGTTTATCATATATTTAAGTATAGATAATTTATTTATGAGTGGGTGAGAGACGTCACAAGAATTAGGCATTTATCAAATAGATTATATTTCACTTTATTTCTTTATTATAACAATGATAGTCATTGTTATTGTTATCATTGCTATTGTTATTATCGTTATTTTATTATTATTATAATTTTATTTTTGTTGTGTTATTATTATTATTATTGTCATTACTATTATTATTGTTGTTATCATCTTTATTATTACTGTTATCGTTATTTTTTTATCATTATAATTGTTGTTATTATTATCACTATTATTGTATTTATTATGATCATCATCAATATTATTGTTATTATTAGAACTATTATTATTATAATTAATATTATAATTATTATTTTATCATTCTTAGCATCCTTACTGCTACTATACTCAATTTACTAATGATTTATTTCATTATCATTATTGACGTTTTATTGTTATCATTTTCTTCTTTAAATTATCATTAATGACTTTATTAGTATTATTATTCTCTAGTCTCTCAGGTTTTCTGTATCGCCTGAATAAAGGGAGAAAAAAACGTATAATCATAAGTAGTTTGTACT